TCCCGACTGCCTGTCTAGATGAGTCCGAGGACAAAGCAAGTGTGTTGAAAACCTACAAGGAATGATCCCCAATATACGTAACAACGTATCCCTACGTGCAAAGCAAAAAGTAGCACAAGGAATAGTTGGGAAACAAACAGGTCCCTCAACTGCTAGGACACACATTCCCTCCGACACGGGTCGCCAAGTACGGCAAACACATGGGTGGGCGATCTGCATAAAAGATGCTTCGTGTGAACGCGCCTGCATCGCGCGCGTGTATTCCAATTTCCGAATGGAATACGCATGCGCATTTATACCAACATGTTTACAGCTCAGCTTCCCGTCGCTCTGAATCCCGCATTCGGGGAATCTACCTCTGGCAACACTGACTAGAAGAGCTATAACAGCATTTATTTCTGGCATGATTGAAAATAATTACGTACGTTAAAATGTAATTTCTGCCAAACTAAAAACTCTGTTATAACTTGGGAAAGTCGAACGAATAGCCTCTCGTGCTCATCTGCATTTATTTCCATTGTTAGGAAGAGTAGTAATTACTAATGTTTAGAACTGAAACCAACATGAATAAATTTTAATTTTACAACCTTTACAGAACATAATACAGAAAAGAGTAATTTCGCTCTAGTCTAACTAACATTTGAAATGAGTTTGCAATGCTATAATCAGCTATTAAAACTTCCCTAAGTACTCGTATAGCAGTGTGTTTGTTAGTTTTAAGTTAAATGTATTCATCCATTTCCATGTTCCATCAATCTATTTCCTTTCATTCAAATATTATCATATAATCATCATAACTATCATCATTAATAAATAAATGTGTTGCTCTTTTCCGAACTGGCAACGCCTGAAACGAACCGCGCGAAATTCAAATTTACAATTCTGGACACGCAACATTCAAAAATGCAGAGTGCGCCGAAAATGGGACTATCACGATCTTTATAGTTGTTTGCAACATATGATAAAAATGAAAGACAAAACTTGAAGATCTCGCAACTGATGCGATCTTTGTGGAATCCCAGAAAAGATGTAAATATTTCTTAGGATTTATACAGGATGCGCCAGAGAAACTTATTTGAAAGGTCAATAAAAACAAAAGTACTTCAGTTATTGTTTTAATTTTTTTATTTGAAAATACAATAATCAATTTTTTTCAATGCAGTCTTGAAAATGACAATCGGCTGAATGGCGACCTCCATTGCGCATACACCTGATGAATCGATTTTTGAAATTCGTATACTCTTTGCAAGCTATCATCGTATGATTGGTAATGGGTCGGAATGTTGTTCTTCGAGGTGTGCTATGGTCGTGGTGTGAATAAACAGGAATTTCAAATAACCCATAAAAAGAAATTCGCCATGAGTCAATCTTGGAGAGCGTGCGCATTGGAGATCGCCTTGAGAGAGATAGGGCTGGTCCGGGAAATGTTGTCGCAACAAATTAGTTTTTGTGGGGGTCTCGTGCTGGTTTTGTCGTGCTGTGTGGCTCCTATTTGCTGAAACCAACGTTCCTAAACGTTCATTTTCTTCGCAGTCTTGGAAGAAAAATTCCTCGATCATGTTCCCTGTACGAGCTCATTCCACGGAACTGCGCGTTCGTTTTCTTCAAAAAAAGACCAATTATTCCCAGTACCGACATCGCAACCAGACAGTACTCGCTCATCAAATTAAGTGCTTCTGGTGACTCACGTTTTACACCACACCAATAAGCATGTTTTTGCTGTTAACGCACGAAGTGGATAGTAGCCTCGGTCACTGAAAAAAACGACCGCGTCTCAGGCAGGTTTGCAAATCAGCATTTCACAGGCATTTTGACGGCAACAATAATCGCCTTCAGTTAATTTTGCACACCAGCCATTTTGTAGGGATGAAACTTGAAGGTCTTCATTGCCAGAATTCGTCGAAACAGTGGGTGTCAGAAAATCCATAGCAGCTGGCGGTTTGCGAGTCGGAACGTGGGAGAACGGCACAACTGACTGCCTCACTCTTTGATATTTCCGGGTTCTGGTGTGCCGTGAAGCTCATTTCGGTTTAGCGAACTTCACACTCCCGAAATGTTTAGTAACCCACGACAGAATCGAATTACGGCCAGAAACGGTCTGTGACGGAGAATTTCAACAGCGAGCGCGGAAGACGTTGCGTAGCAACAAGTGAGCGACCGTTAGAAAAAAGCTCTGCGACTGCGAAGACCGCTGCTCTCTACGTCAAGACATGATGGCAGAACTGACTGGAAGGAGAAAAAAAAAACTTGGGACTTCCCTCCAAGTACGGCCCCCTCGCCCTCTAACGCCAACTCAAGGCGGGATTTTTTCACAATAAGTAAGTTTCTCTGGTGCACCCTGTACTTTACCTTTTCAATTCTTCCAGTCACGTAATTACTAAACCATTTGAAGAAAGAACTCTTTATACTACTTTCTTCTAAAGTATGAAGTAATAGGCGATGTTTTAGTGTCAAAGGGGAAATCTGTATGGTTGATATCCACCTGGTTATTCCATTACGTTTTCAAGCAAAATGTAAAACTAGACGTAGATCTTTTTCCTAAAATCATCAAGTTACATTCTGAAAGTTTCGCGATAATACAGTTTGGAGATGAGTAGTTCTGTATATTGGATCGATTACCTTTTTTGAAACTAGTTTTCCAGATAGTAGAAGTGTTGCTTCAAGAATAGATGTAGTAAACAAAATGTCCGTAACCATTGTAATTTTTTCTGAAAGGATGCAGATATCCAATTGGGACCAGGAGTGATGTTAACATTTAATCTCTTAATTGCATTCTAAACATGTAATCAGTATCAACTAACGTATTGGCTGGATTTCATTCATTTATTGACTGGACTCCACACAAACGATTGTTCAGGAATGAAAACAGATTCAAAATATTTTGCAAATAGTCCAACTTTCTTGGGGGCCAGCATGCTTATTTTCACAATACATAGTTGGGAAGTCTGGCGACATTTCGTTTAGAATTCGCACATTTTCTGAAGGAACAGGTAGCGACGGTTAAAATAACTTGAATTAAACGCCACTATCAAGATGTCTCGACAGTGGCGGGGTGCATTTCGGAGCTTCGCAGATGGAGAGTGTAGCAGTAACAGCTGCTAAGGAGCGCTGCGGCATCCAGCCGGTGGCTATACTGCGATTTTTCCAACTCAGACCATGGCTGGTAGCAGCTGTTGACGGTGTCATTCAATCGGGAACAATCAACATGAACGTGACATCAAGCTCCCGATTGGATGAAACCTCAACAGCTGCTACCTGCCAGGGGCAAATTGGAAAACTCGCAGTGTAGGGGAAGGACGTCTGGCGGCCCTACGCGGCCTCCCCCCGCAAAAGGGCTTCAAAAGCGACACTTGCAAATGTTGCATCAGGAAATATTGCACATTTAATTATAAATCACGTCAGAAAGTATAATTATTTTCAAATACTATCAATACATTAGCGTATGTTACATTCGCTTGTTCGGCCGATAATGGAATATGGAACAATTTGACGGGATCCACACAAAATAATGCAATGTAAAAATTTAGAAATAATTCAGCGTAGAGCGGCTAAATTTACGTTCAGGGACAAGAAAATGGCAAAACGGGATTCACTCGAAAATAGGCGATTAGTAGCAAGACTCTGCGGTTTGTATAAAGCTTATAGCGGTCATCCAGCTAGGAAAGAAATTAACAGGCGGCTAAGTATTCCCACGTACATCAGTAGGGGGGGATCACACGCACAAAATAAATTTAAGACCGCACAAAACAGATGTGGGGAAATTTTCTTTTACAAATCGAACGATAAAAGAATGGAATAGATTGCCTGCAAAAACCTTTGAACCCTTCCCTCGTAGTGTTCAACAGTTTAGGAAATAATTTAGGGCATTTCTAAATAAATGAGGGACTTAACTGAGAATAGTAGGTGATGTGAAGTGAGGTGTCGTGCTGTGTAGAACAGAGATATAATGTAGGAAGTGATTAAAGGGTCATAGTGAAGCGAAGTGAAGTTGAACAAAAATTCAGTGCGGATTTAGATTATAATGTTTCTTTTTTTAAAGGTAATTTAAATATTTTATGAATTAGTTTTTATATCATTATTATTTTTATTACTGTATTTACTATTATTATTATCATCATTGGTTTTATCAGCTGTTTTAATTGTTTCTATTATTATTGTACCATTATTATTACTATTATTATATAATTTGCATGTTAGCTGTCTTATTAGCTGCCACTGGGTTATGCCCATTTGCAGTTCAAATAAATTTATCTTTATCTAATGATTACATTTCTCTTTATATGATCTATCTATTGTTATTGAGAAAATGTAAGGTTACATTTAATCTCTACGGCGTATTACTTGCCCCCCGATTCTGTATTGTTGAGCAAAAACTGTATTTCGATATTGTGAATCATTTAGAAGTTATGGAGGTGGCCTGTAGTTGGCAGGACTTCCCACATAATTCAAAAAAGTTCTTCGTAAAAACAAAATGTAGAAGTATCAAGCGAGTTGTTTATTACCTTATTGGATTGAATAGAAATTATAACCTACATAATTTTTGTTTTACTTACCACAAACAGGGACATCCATGATTATAAAATATATTAAATATTATTTTAGACAACGTTTGTATATTGGAAACCACAGTTTACCATCTCTTGTGATTCTCAGAGTACTGACTGCATACTCCAATTTTAAACTTCCAAAGCACACAAAAGGTACAGAGATTAGCCTTCATACTTTCAATACAAACGTGCAAAACATTCCTCTTTCAAATGGGTGCTCGAAGTTCCCAAATTAACTTTTATTTTGGAGGTTTTATTAATGTTTTTGACAGTGGTTAATGACACCATGCTCACACACACTCTTGCTCTCCATGGTAAAGAGGAATTGCCAGAGTATTATTATTCAGCTCCTTACAGTATTTTTTGAACCTATTGGATACCTAACTCAAAAAAAACTTTATCTGAATAACCTATATGGGATGATGATTTTTAGTTATATTTGACATTAGCTAATGCATTTTACATTGAAGTTTACCTTTGAAATCTTTTATTGAAATCCATTACAATGTAGTTTTATTTTCTCACAATGTAGAGGATGCATGAAAATGTAAATGCAGCAGTGAGTCCCAGTTATTGTTTTCTGGCAAACTTATTTTGTGGGACTCTTAATACTGAAAAAAATGGAGATTCTTCTTTATAAAAGGGTTTTGCTCTTCTATGATATTCTCAAAGTCTCATTTCAATTACACTGTAAGGGGACTGTAAACTTGAGAAAATATAACAAAATAATACGTATATGTGGGTGGAGGTTGGATTAGGTGGAGACTATTCCCAGCTCTTGTAAATCACATCAACTGTTTAATCCTTCTACAGTCCCTTGCCCTGATCTGTAACCATGAGACATGGGTGCAATCTCTGCGTATCTAGAATCTAACACTTCAACTGGTGAAAAGGGCTATCTTCCTCTTCTATAAACAAAAACTCAGTTTTTTCTAAAAAAAGTTGGAATATATTGTTTACATAATATTACATCTACATACCTAACTAGAAGTATCAATTTACTATGATTAGAAAACATTCTTCTTTTATAACATTGCTTCTATTTTATGAACACATTCTTCTACGGAATAATATATTACACTTCACTCCAGCATAAGTATCTCTTTGCACTGGCTGGCCTGCCTTTGTATGAACTTCATATACTTTTTATTCTTCATGCGAAAACACTGACAGTTTAGTACCTAAAAATAGAAAAACATGTCTAAGATATGGGTGACAATAAAAACATTATTACATTACTAATAATAAAAATAAAACTTGAAGACAAGTGACAGTTATCATGTTACGTCAGTGCATCAGAAGCTTCAGCATTTGTACAAAGTCACTTCCTATGATACAACAAATGAAGCTCTGAGCTCTTAAGTAGGTCTAGTAAGGTTAACTATAATGAAAATCATCACATGAGCAAAGTAGCTTGAGCTGTTACTTCTGTTATAATGATAGCTACAATGTAATGTAAAAGTGTTTAGTAGGCAGCAATGCCATTCCCTTTCATACCCAACTGTCAACCACCCTATTTTATTCGGATCTTCTACAATTCAACCATTATTATTTTTTTTCTTTTAACTGGATAGTGTAACTTACAATTTGATGTTAATTGTTCTCATAGAGTTAGCTCAATAACAAACTAAAAAAAAAAATCCTAGCAAAAACGACTTATTTTTCCCAATGGAACAGCCAGAGCTCACTGATATTTGAAATGATCTAAAGATTCGACAGGTGGTGGACCCATTACCACCCATTAAATACAACGGAGGGATATTCAAGATTGCGAGTCGAAAAAACAGGTTATCCGGCAGCAGTTTCATTTCTTAATTTATTATTCACAATCGTAGCAAGTCTCTGCAAATTTCAATCACATTCAAAATCAAATACTCAACCAGACACTATGCGAGTGTTATAATGTCTGATGATTATTAAAACCGTTGTATATCTAAAATATCCAAAAACTATGCCTGCATAAATTGTGGGGCTGTATAGAGAGATTAATTATTATGGAAATATCACTGAAATTTAAATCAAATGTGGAATTTCATAAATAAAACTGTAGATAAAAACAATTTGAAAAATTATCCATGTCTGAGGATGAATAAATAATATTCAACCTTAATAAATCAATAGCAAATCATTTTAATAAATTCTTTGTAAAAATGGGGGCTACAACGGCAAAAAAAACAAAACAAAAAAAAATCATGCAGATAGAGTTACTTTAGACCAAAATCCAAGGATTCTATTCTTTAGCTCCATCTAAAAAGAAGAATTATTTAATGTTATTTATAACATGAATTCTAAAAACACTGGAAGGGCTGATCATATTCCTGCTGGACTGGTTTAAAAAACAAATGCAATACTCATTGCAACCTATGACCAAGGAAACTCGTTTTATCACTATTAGGAAATTTTATCTATAGAAAGCATTTGTAATAAACTATGAGCAGATTCACAGAGTATGAAAGTGGGAGAAAGCTGGCTTTAGTTACTCCTAGTAGATTTAATAAAGAACTAATTAGAGGAACCCATAAAATATTAAGTACGAAAATTTTTAATAACATGAATGCTGAATTGAAAAATCTAGTTTTAAACAGACATAACACAAAAGAAAATTCAGAAAGTAGCTAATTGATTTGAAAGAAACCAATATTAAAACCTTCTTCTAAGTAAACTGTGAATTTAATTTTTCAGAAATATAGTTGGGTATGTACTAGTGTGCAATTTTTTCTTGGAAACATCACATTATACACTTTATCATTATTTTTGCTTAATTATTGTATTTTTTAAAATTCTTTTTTATCTTTTGAATAAAAAGATGTCATATAATTTACATAGAATAAATAGTTTGTACTTGCCTACAGACTCGCACACAAGCAAAAATTCTTTGTGAAATAACATATCGTTGATATATTATTTTGTATATTTTACTACCTGTTAAATAAATAAATGAAACCTGACGTACTTTTGTTAACTGAGACAGGGCGTAACAAGGTCTTGCCAGACTAAATGTTCAAACTGGAAGGACATGATCTCTACAGGAAGGATATGGAAAATCTATAATCAATCAGTCACCATTACAAATAAGAGCGATTGCATCACTCAGAGTTTAGAAACCAATCTGGCTGAATAAAAAAAAAAGACTATTTAGACATTGCGGTCAGTGGGGTTTACAAACCACCTGCAACAACAATTTTCACTGTGGACATGGACCTTTTTGAATTGATTGAACCCTTGAATGACCAACCTGTCACAACACTGCTATGTGGCGACCTTAATTTCCCAAGATGAGCTGGCCCCTCCTAGTCACTGCAAATGTATGTCCAAGTGAACAGGATTGTGTAGATATCTTCAATAACTTTTCCTTTGTGCAACAAGATTCAGGAGAATGCCTGATAATTGTAAATCTTATCTTGACAAATGATCACACTGCCTATAGAGCCCCTAAACTCACTGCCCAGAGTGGAAACAATGACCACCAGATGATAACACTGCAGTTACAGATAAGTCTTGCATCTCCACAACAAAGACTACACATAAGACTATAACAATAAATTGGAAACCAAAAGATATGAATATAAACTATCCATAACGAACTCAGAAGGGAAGCAATTACATTATTATATTCAACAACAAATATCCACAAACCTTGACATACTAAGATCATTAAAGGTCAAACAATCTGCATTTTGCAAGATAATAAAAAAATAATCACCTAGATAGATTCACTTATTTTACAGCCAGCCACAGACAAAATAATTTTTGTTTGGAAACTTTTACGACTCTCTCATGGACCCGAGGATCAGAAATGTACGAATTCACAGATCAGAACTTGACCATGTGAACATTAAACAATGGAAATTTCTAGTTAATGGTTATCATAGAATCAGAGACCTTGAACAAGATAGCAACTGTTGATTTCTGGTGATGCAGATGGTAATGTTTTGGATTTGGGGATAGAGGATGATAGACAAAAATTCAACATTCAAAACTTTTAGTTGGTCTAAAAACTCAAAAAACGACCTAGAATGAGAGGAAGACCACATACAGAAACACTCCAAGATGAAGATGGTACTGACAGAAACAATGATGATTTTTATAAGGAACAGGAGTATAGGGAGAGATCAGGCAAAAATAATTACGCTTACCAACAATAAAACAATTTAGAATTTTATTATGTGAATAGTAATTAAAACGAAACAAATTCTTAGTAGCCCTTTTCAAAATGAGGGTAGGGCCTTAATTTTGGGTAAATATGGTATACTAGCATATCCGTGCGAGAACTCTCGCATATTAAATTCTGGTCTCCTCTTTCCTGTCTTTTCCATATTATGAGAGAAATTGATAACGAAACATGTTTATTTGTTAAAAAAAATTAAAAAAGTATCTTCCTATGAACTTAAAGAATTGAAAATTAAAATAAATAACATTGAAATTGATGTTTGAAACAAATTTTGAATAAAGGTGAATTTAGTACAGACATGTTCTAGAAATAATTAAGAACATCCTTAAAAACAGCATTTGAAGAAATTATTCTTCCTTGACAGTTAGGTCTTAGCTTTCCCCTAGTCACAAAAATATTACAAAAGCATGTTACTCTCCAAAAAAAAAAAAAAAAAAAAAAAAAAAAAAAAAAAAAAAAAAAAAAAAAAAAAAAAAAAAAAACACACACACACCACACACCACCACCACTTAAAAGTTGTTCATGCGAAAATACAGGATCGGGCGAGCATAACCCTACTCTTCGGAATATTATTTAACTTTATTACCGAGGTGCGAGATACACCCATGCAATTTAATCACCTAGAATATCAAGAAATTATTTCACAAACAGATGCAGATTCTGTATGTTACTGATTCTGCAGGTTCTGTAGATACTGAAGGTTACATTACAAACTTTTCACAGCAACAAGAATGTCAAAACTTACATTTGATAAATGAACGGTTGCACTCGTCACATAAAAAGCAATGATGTTCGGTATCAAGCAACTATTAATACTTCTAGTTTCTGCAAGAGCATTTAGGTTTATTTGTATAATCTTCAATTATTGATTACGCAAATAAATCTCTTCAGTCAGAGCAAACTACGGTATACACACAGTATACACAGAGAGTTGGAGAAATCTAAGCCTTCTAACCGTAAAAAACCAAAGATCGCCTCCAGTGCCAAATAATATAATTGACATTAGATAATATCGATAAGTGTGGATCAGCAAAAATGTAATAGAATGTACAAGATATCATCTGGCAAATTTTAAAATTGCTTTGTTTAGGAGTTATGTAACGATGTAGATTCAACAATCCTGGCTAGTGTTGTGGGTTGCATTTGATGTGAATATTTATATGCTTCTTATAAATAAGTCCTTCTTATTTTTTAAGTTGAAGTGCAATTTGTAGAGTCTCCGTAAAATTATCTTTTGTTAGAGACTTAATTAATCAAGATTGGTTGCATGTGAGAGCCACAAAAGGTACTACTGAAATAATATAGCAGACGATAAGTAATACTGCCATTCATTAGTGTAATTCTTTTAACCAACTTTTGTATAATGTACATCAATAATTTTAGCATACAAATTTCAACTTATTAATGGGTAATAACTGCGGCTCGGATTCTGATGACACGACATCTTTTCATTGGTGCATTCTGGACAAAGCTAACTTCTAATGCATGTTTATCAAGACATACATTGTGAAAGAAATATATAGTATTATGTATTGGGTCATATTTGTTTATTTTTATGTCAATACAAACTGTTCAAGAACTGTTTGCTAACAGAGAAATGAAGGGAAAGCAAACTTACATCAAATCTAGTTTTGGCTTCTTGTACAACATTTACCTAACTCCAGGAGAGAAATGTGCCTTTAGAGAACATGTTAAATTTAGTAAGAACTGAAGGCATGAAGTAGAAAGCGAGTGGTAATGTTGTGTCAGAAAAACTTCACTGTGTTCTTATTAAATATTCTGGATATAAAATATAGTGCTCCATTAGTTGAGTGTTAGGGAAAATTTCATAAGAATGGCTTTCAAGAGTAATTAAAATCCTGTGATTTACCACGTAAAGTAAGCTCCTGTTTCATTAGTTGATGTAGAAAGTTCTTCCATTTACAAGAACCTACTGACGAACAAGTGGCGTTCATTGTCATTCGACAATGTGCACGTGATCACCATCATTTGTTCCAAAGCTCATGATGAATGGTGTGAGAACAATTTTCCTTCCATACAATACACATTATTTGCAAAGTATATTCTTTAAAAAATCAGTTAAATACTACGTTTTTCTGCCTTCAAATGGCAGTTTTCCACTTTTCTAGATGACCGGAGCTAATGATTCCATTGCCTCCTAAAATAAAGATTATATTTATTTAAAATTGTAAAAATTAATTATTAATTACATTTTCATACAAATTTTTGAATATTAGGACATTTCCCCCTTGTTTTTATGTCATTTTATAGATAATTTTCCTCTTATTTTCTTCATTTTATATGTCATTTCCAAAAAGTTTAGGTCATCAGAATTCGAGCCCTGGTAATAACAATGATCTAAATATCTTTTTGTTGCAAATTTGTTTGATAAATTTTTATTTTTTTTATCTGGCATATTAAGCAGGAGGTTCCAAATATATGCATGAAATTACAAAAATGATAATAAATTGAAGTAAATCTTTAATAGCACCTTCCAATGCAAGTTGTTCGTGGTTAAATTTGACGCATAAAGTTTAATGACATTTACTTTATTTCCAACTCATCAATGATTAAGTAGTTTTATTTGCTTGTATCACCTATTATCTTTTAAATCATAGCATATAGTTTCCTAAAAAATTGATAAATATTAACAGGAACAATTTAGATAGCACTGTCACATCTCGTGGGTAAAGTGAGCAAAAGAAGTCAGCAGATGACAAAAAGATACTAAAATTGGGCAAGAATGATAAAAACACGAGTGAAGATGATGTCTCTCACTGTGGATTAATATTTCAATCATCATGTGACACAAATAATTTAAAACCTCGAGAAGATGTTTCTAACATGAAGAAAGATGTTAGTTTAATCAATTATAGCTTTTGTGGAAAAGATTGTAGTTAAAGAACATAAGCAACAGAGTTAAGGCAATATCAGAAATTATTCAGCTAACGAGAATGAAAGGGATAGGAAATTGTGGAAAAGCCGTAGAGACTCTATACTGCAATATTTCTGTTATTTATATAAAAATTTGACAAATATTGGAATTCCTAAGAAACTCACCCAAGGGGAAATTCTTGGTCGGAATTGACTTCATCAGCTTCCTCAACACCTTCTTCCTCCTCTGCAGTAACAGAAATGTAATTTTGATTATTGTTAGAAGCAAACAAGCAAATCGTTGAAAGCTGTACATGGAAGGAAAGTACAACACTATTAAACAATCAACAATATACACACCTGCTCCAGCGTTCTCCTTCTTTTTACGACCATAAGCTCTTTTAGAGGTAACCAAAGGTTGATCAGTTTCTCCATGAACTAAACTATTACGGTACATGAGGAGTGGTTGCCAATCTTCACCACGACTAGAAGGCATTCCAGTTGCAATCCTTCTATCAAGGAAATTCAACCTAAAGACATAGTATTAAGTAAAAGAGAGAAAAACAAACTTTTGGAAATCAGAAATATAAAATTCATAACTGATCTGAACACAAGTTATGTTTTTAGTTCCTGCTAAAGTTCATGTGGCAATAGAAATGGTTCAATGACCAGAGCACTAACTTTAACAGCAGACTTGGAAAAAAAAATTCTTTCATATCAATGTCAATATAAATCATTTCATCATTGGCAATGATGTCATTCCAAATCATAATATTACACAAAATACTTACACAACACGTTTATCCTGCTTTAGTAGTTTGTTAGTAAATTCGGCCAATATTTCTAAAAAGGGAAGATTCGGAGGAGGACCTGTTGGATCTTCAACATTTTCCAAAGGATCCACAGAAAACAGAATACCTTCTCGATGAAGGGCAGTAATGGCCTCTCTGTTTTTAACAGCATCGAGACCAAAGGAGAGCGCAAAACGCTTGGCAAGTTCCTAAAAATTTAATGAAAACGTAAAATGTAACAATGTACTTGTCTGCTACAATTACAAAAAATTTAGAAATTTAAATGAATTGTAATGAAATAAATTATAAAAACATATTTATGCTTACAATTATTAACCCTTCATTAACCACACAAATACATATCACATCACAAAGGTATCACTCAGTTGCCGTTGCATGTCCCCATTTCTGTAGTGGTTTCAAAGTGCGGTAGATATAAACCGTCTGAAGTGTAAACGTGAACTCTGATACTAGTGTTTAAAAAAATTGAAGAGTGACTAAGCGTCACGCTCAGATGTTTGTTTCAACCCTTTCAAATTCATGTTGGAAGGAAACGTGCCACAAATTGAGACAAGGGATTGCAGTGATGTTAAAAAAGTTAAATAGACTAGATATTAAGCAGATCCCACATTTAAAAATATGTGATTCCTGTTGGCTGTGAAGTTCAAAAATTTCAACTATCAGAAATGTATCTAGTAACCAAGAGGAAGAAGGTACAAGCAGTGTGAATTCCAGTTTCTGGCACATCAACAGAACTGGTCAGCGATAAGGGTGGCCTGATGTTACGGAGTGAAAGTGTTAATAAGCCTAACAAAAGTGTTGTATTGCTCGGCGAGACTCCAATTAAAAAATCAAAATTGTTAAGAAAGAAGTATGCTCTACAAAAAAAAGATGGTGCAGAAAGTGTTAGAGAAAAAGAGTATTCAAATTAACCGAAGATGAAAGGGGCAGGGGTATGATGTAAATCAAGATCTGGAAGAAAACCTGAAAGAAGCGTTTCAAACAACAAAAGACAGAAATGAAAAAATAAGAATTCTCACATCATTTGAAGACTGGTCTTATGAACAGAACATTATTAGAGAACATTTTGATGGATCGTTTCACGTGATTACAATAGTCAAAAAAGTAGCAAGTCAAAAAGGAATTCTCTCTACTCCTGATTTGAAAATGGGAAGGCCTTTACTGATTGATGTAGCAACAAAAGTAAAGGAATTTTAAGAATCCAATTAAATAAGCCACATAATGGCTGTCAAGAAAGAGTATGTATCCGTGAAAAAAAAGGATAGCAAAGAAATTCAAATAAAAAGAAAATTGGTCCTATGCAACTTGAAAGAAACCTGCATTTTGTTCAAAGAAAGAAATCCAGATTATAAAATAATATTTTCAACACTTGCAGAACTTTGACCAAATAAATATATGATAGCTAGAGCTAATGGTACGCAGTTAGGTTGTGTATGTTCCATTCATCAAAATGTCAAATTAATGATAAGACAGTGGACATATTCCAGAACTCACAGAAGAAACCTCACAACCATTAAGGAGTTTCAGAGAATGCTTAGCTCAAAATATCTGCAATCCCTCTACATTAAAGTGTTATCAACTACACTGTAGTGAGTGTCCTGGTTCATATGAGTTTATACAACAAATACAGCAGTTGTATGAAGGATAACATGCTTGTAAATGTATCATACAAACAATGGGTGTCAACAGACAGAGCAACCTTAGAAATGTTGCACTCTTCAACAGAGGATGTGTTGGAAAAATTTGCCAATGAGTTCACAACACTTGCAAAGCACTCATTTATTGCAAAACAACAGTCAACATTTTTAAATGAACAGACAGAAACAAAGTCAATCGTGTTGAGTGAATTTCAGAAAACTATGCATTTGTAATTCAAGATGCAATTCCAGGAGCCCACAGGAACAACGAACAAGTTATGGCGCATCCATTTGTAAATTGTTATAAAGAGGGCATAGAAATTAGGCATACCCCTTTTGTTGTTACTTTTGTATCTTTAACACCCAGTACCACAGCCATCCATTTATTTCAGAAAATGAATGAAAGAAAAATTAATTATGAAAGAAGGGCCAATCTCCAAAGTCTCACAGAATCAATACACACTCCTTGTAAGTTCTTTACTCTCTACACAAAGTTCTCTACCACACTCAAAAGTACCATACTTGAAAAGTGTTCTGAAATCTGAAGATATGGTATCTATGAAAATCTGTCCTGATTAAAACTGGTGCATGTGAGAGTATATTTTTAGTAAAATAAACCATAAAATTAGATTGGTTTTATTTTTATAAACATCACTTTTGCATATTCAGCGCCTGCTTGCCAAAGTATGTGGGAGAGTAGTAAATATATTGTTGCTTCATTGTCACTTCCCTCTTTCTTTCTCCATCATGAAAATTGTCATGAATAGAGAATTGCATGTAGTTTTATATGGTGTGTAGAAAAATGAATTATCTTGTGGTCATCATTTTCACAATTGGGTTCATAATTTTTTCAAAAACCATTTTTTAAATTTATTTTCGAAATTGTAACACATATTAAATATAAGCTAATTAAATTACCTTTAAAATGAGATATAGTTTGTCTTTCTACTTTAAAGACTTCCGAAGTTACTGCAAATTAAAATATTGATGCCCCAAAAAGTCACAGTTTTGCTCAATTTAAAAATAAGTCATAACTCATAAAATTATATGAAGAAGAAGAAAAAAAAAAAAAAAGAAAAAGTCACATTAATTTGATCAGCATCTAATGTTATGTTGTTCTTGCATGTAAGCACGATCATGAGAATGCGTATGTAGTGCTGTGTAGCGAAGGAGAAAATGCTGATGTCTCATGTTATTAGTTGCTCACGATCTCTGTCAGATATGTTGGCTGTTTCTGATTTTGAAGATATGAATGAAAGATTTCAGTCCTCTATTAATTCAACACCAACCAACAATGGAAGAAAAAGAATATGAAATGATGAAAATTGGAACAGAATGTTACCAAGTTCAAGAGAATATGGACTAATGATTTTAAATGTTTTTAAGTATATGGATCAATATATTTAGTAAGAATTTACAAATAGCAACAATAGGTTGACAGGTTTTTATTCATAAGGAATAAGGGCAAGTTAATCACAGATGTTTTGTGAATAACAGGCAGAAAAATAAAGAGGACATAAATAACATGAGACCAATTAATTCTGGTATGAGCATGAAGATGACCAGATGAGCTAATTGAAGTATGTGGTGCAACGTAGTGGCACAATGTAACATATTTATTGTAGCTTTTTTATTACAGCTAATTTATGTACTTGAGATAATTTACTTTTGTTTTTCTGTAATAACCATTGCTTATTACATGGACAATACAGGTTCAATAATTAATGATAGAAATACAAAGATACAAATAAGAAAACATAACAATCATGCTATCAGCTTACCTTTAGACTAACGAAATCTTCACTCTGCCTGTTAATACGTATTCCATCACGGGGTAGTTCCTTAAACAACATTGTTAAACTAAGGGCCATTGTACGGGCACAATTTGTCTTGTTTATTTCCCGGGCTTTGCCCAAAGTTGCTTTAATGATATCACCATAGTCATTATAGTACTGAAACAAAAAAACCTTAATGAGCTAAATCACACCACAATAACTCCCAATGGGCAAAATTGAGCATTATTTAACTATAATGTGCATATATATGCTTCTCAAGACTTTTTTCTTTTTTAAGAAAAAACTTTTTTCCATCCCAGGATTTTCTCAATGTATTGTAGCGTCACAGCTTGCAGCTGGCTTACAGCTGACAGGCAAGGTAGGGGGTTGAGGGCACTAAAAATAGCCACCTGAACAAAAGGGAGGATCCAGAAAGAAGGGTGCAGCATGAGAGACATGTCTTCAATGCAGCGCACGGGGGGGGGGGGGGGGGGGAGAGAGAGAGAGAGTAATGGAATTACCTGTACAAATTTATTGAGAAAGAACATGTGGCAGACTCCTTACATAAAATTATTTTTCTCAATTCTTTCTGTAAAGGCATTTTTTGAACAAAATACAGCATCCTGGAAATTCCTCTAGAGGCTCCACAGCCTCCACTCCAAGGGTTTAAAACTATTATTGAAACAAAAATGATTTTAACATTATAGCAAACCAGGTTAGCAAAACTGCATGTTTTTACTTGTGTGGTCATTGAAACAAAGGTACAATGATAGGAAAACTTCATACCATTAAACGTATTCCCTCTGTGTTGAGTCTACTCTTTCCATCCTATGGAGCTAACCTGGGCCAAGATTAAAGCAATTATTCATAATTATCTCTTACAATTTACCTTCACATAGTGCTTGAAGACATCTGCAGCAGCCTTAGTTGGAATCACATTGTAAACAACCAATTTGCAAAAAGAAGCAAGAAAATTACGCCTCTTGTGTAATTCTTCTATCTTTGAATGTTCATCCTGTTCATCTGAAATGGTATTTCTCCCACATATTAGTGCAACTTCAAACTTGAATACTACAAATAGTGAATAGCAAGATCTTTATTTAAGTTTAAAATTAAGAAGTACCATCTTCCTCCATTACGAACACAAAGGTTTCAATGAAGTCTATCAGCATAAGTTGCAGAGCACGATCAGGTTCATATACCAAATTTCCCAGAACAGGATTACTTGCCAGCTGATCACAAAATACAACCAGCAAATCGCAAACAGTGATGTATGCCTAAAACATCCAAGATAAAAGTGTAAATATTTCCATATTCCAAAATGATTACATAGTATTGATTTTTAGGACTCAAGGGAAACAACAACATTAATCATTCTCATTAACCTTATTAGTTTAGGAGCTGAAATTATAAAGAATAACTTTCAACCATGACAAGAAAAGAAAATAGTTACAATAAATGTTTGATTTTCACCATTCACTTTCACATACAATCTGGATTCCGTTCTCACTCAAACACAATATAAAACCATATTGAAAAAATTCACTGACACCTTTAGAATAGTTAGGCCAAATTGGTAGATGTTATAGATAAATATATCACCAACAAACCTCTTCTTTATACAATTGACACGGTCCATTTAGAAGCATATCCTTCATGGTGTCCATGAACTGATGAAGTTTGTTGCGAAGATTGGCTGCTTCTTCGGCCCCACCTCCACCACCTTCTTGTAATTCTTCCAAATGTCTCAGGTCCCACATTATACTAAAGAAGCAAGCAGCAATGCAGTACTTGATTGCCTACAGAAAGTTTATATTCTTTTTAATTTTAGAATTTGCAAATAAACGGAAGAATTATGCAATGTAAAATAAAATATTCCTCTCTACTCACTTCTTCAGGGAGTGACTTGCTCCCCTCTTTTGCTTCAACTATATCCTTGAAAATTGAGTCCCAAATACTCCAAGGGCCTAGATTGTGACAATTATAAAATATGGAAACTTTCTTTAAACTATACACAACATTGAACGTTTCATCCTCATCTGGTGTTTCTTCCTGTCAAAAGAATGAAAGTTATGGAAATAGGATATTTAAATGCTGAATGGAAAACTATTTTTCAAAAGGATATAAGACCAGTTTAAATAACACTTACTCCTTCTATTAAAGTCCTCCAGTCATCCATAGCTTCTTTGTATTTGTTAACTATCATATCAATTAATGTTGAACGAGCAACATCACATCGAGTAAATATAGCATTTCCCTCTGTACATAGAACTTCTAATGTTTTTGTACATGTTTCCAAAACATCTTGGTCATGATGTTTCTCCACAATAGTTTTAATTTTTTTCAAAAGGCTATCTAAAAACTATAGTTCAATATTAACTTAGTTAACAATACAATTTTATACCAGATTTATAAATAATCTTTTATGAAACAACTTATGCATACCATTTCCTGACGAGCCGTAGTATACACATCTAATTCAAAATATTGAGGTATTGCCAATAAATTAGCCAACTTCTCGGGATCTGCTCTGTATTTATCTAGTAACTGGGGTAAAGTCTGGATGAAGTGCTCAGTAAGTCGCGTTTTATCATCTTGAACTTGTTTCAATTCTTTAGCAGACAAAATCTAGAAAGGTAAACAAGAGATGTCAGGCCTAGATGTTATTGGGTGTTGCATCAAACTAACTGTACACTACAATGTAATTCGTTGATTTTGTTATTTTTTTCCTTTTGTGGTTAAGTGCATGATGTATATGTGATATACCTGCATGTTTACTTGAGCCCTGGAATACTTATCCTGGAATTATGAATAAGTGATTGCAATGAACATTGTTAACAAAATTTGATAACCAGAATGGTTTGCTCCCCTACAATAGAAACTATTTTGCATTGAAAAACAAGCTACATATTAATATAAGTCGCCTGTTGTCAAAATAACCAAATCCCATACTCTTGCATCTAGTGAAATGAGGGCTCAAGATAACATGCAGGGATATTAATAAAGGCTTTAAACACGGGTTACAATTACACGTTACGTTTCTGTTGTGATATGTGAGTCATGGACTACGCAATCCTCCATATGTGTGGCCCTTTTCATCCATATTTCGTTTTCCACTCATCACTATAATGTATTGATTTAAATCACTTTATTGAATTCAATGCCTTATGTGAATTTGTACTAAATATTGGGAATAAATCTGAAAATAATGAAAATCCTGTTTTTTATATCAAATTCCCGTTTTTTCCCGGTTCTTCCAGGTTTTTCCGTTTTTCAAGGATTCCAATTTACCTGGCCACTTTGAGTATAATGTGCAAAACAACAGCATAGTGTTTCCAGTCATTCTTCTGAATACATCATAAATTATTTTGTACTTTTGATTGCTTTTAGGATGAATTATATACATTATATGCATTTATAGCAATTCAGGCATAATCAGTGTTCTGCTGCCTGTAAATGGTATAAATAAATAAACTTACTTTACGGGTGGGCCCTCGACCCACAGGAGGTTCACCTGTTGCTGCTTGCCTGATGCAGCACACCATGATTTCAATTAGACTAGTTTCCTGACGATCATCCAATGCTTCCTCATTTGGGCCAGGCTCCTCCAGAAGCAAATCTGTCATGCACTCCCAATCCTTCATCATTTCATTAGATTCTATGAGGGAATCTACCAAATATGCACCATGTTCATGCAACTAGAATCAAATTTCCCATGTGAAATAAAGTTAACAATGGTCAGATGCCTTATAATACATTTCACTGAAAATGTTTCTTACACTTATATAATTTGATTTTATTGAGAATATTTAGTAACAAATTACCAAACTATGTATTTTTAAACTAAAAGGCTAAAAGTGCACATACAAAAGTGTTAGTTAAATGTTCTACTTCCAAATTTAGCTTTTCACAATCACAAAGAGACAAAACCCTAATATTTTCACAATAAAACATTAAAAAAATTACGTATGTGAAAATTTGTAATTTGTTCTAATAAGTAACAATTTTTATAGATTATTCTTGAATGAGATTCAAGAATAGTATTATTCTTAATTTGCAAAAATATACAAAAATAATATTATAAAACATTCCATAACAAAAACAATATCATTACCTCAGATTCAATGAAGAACTGTACCAGATCTCGAATAAGAGGTGTATTGGGGAGACGTTTCTTGCCTCTTTTTGTTTTCACACCAGCGGCCTCTTCATCAGGCACAAACAACCTCTCATTCAAGAACTCCCCAGCTGCTTGAGCCACTGCACGATGGGAGGAGTACACTAATTCATACACATGCTCACAGTCCTTATCCGTTAATATTTCACGGTGATGCCTGCAATGACACAAATACAGAATAATCTTCACTGGCATAAGAGATAACCATATTTCTTCTATCATCCTTTAAAATATTTAAAACGTTAGTGAATTATCATGTCATCCAAGACAAAACAATTATCTGGTCGTCCAAGACAAAGTAATTTTTAATCGTGCTTTTCTTTTAAATATGCTGTGCAATTGCTCCACATCTACAGTTCATATATGTATATGTGTTAGCACATTGAATTTTTGTTTAGATGCATTTCAAAAAACACAAATGAAACAAAGAATGATGTTGAATTCACTAAACTGGATCACTATCAGGTCAATTTTAAACAATAAGAAAAATTGCCCTATGATATTTACTTCAAAATACTGATGACTAATCGAACAGCTTGTACAGCAACATCATATTCTTTATCCAGAGTCATAGCAACAATACGATCTTTGAATTTGCTGGTAAACAACTCTAGCTTTCCCTTCAATTCTTCAGATGCATATAAGGGTTGCAAAGCCTGAGGAGAAATAGAAACCAGTTAATTAACTGAAGCAAAACTGAAGAACAAAATCCAGCTTAATTATAACAAATATTTTACCTGCTTTACAATCACCTTACCTGTAAACACTTTAATCGAACTTCTCCAACCTTATCATGCAATGTCCAACCAATGTATTTAAGATATGAATCATCAAGAAAGTTTTGATGAAACTTCTTCATCCACACCCCTATTTCTGCCATACATATGGCTCTGATTTCGGGTAAAGTATCTCTGCAAAACGAAATAGAACTTCAAAAATCATAATAGTTTAGAGTTTGAAAGAAAATAAGAGTGACAATTTAAAATTAATTTATAAACATCTTGTTTATTTTCATTACACCAAATATATACTGAATATAATTTAGGGCAATAAAAAACTTCAGTAAATTATAGTATAAAGATAAAGTCGACGTGCAGATATTGCGATTGTAATATTACATTTGATAGCTGCAATTTCATAAACTTTGGTGACAACATATAACAAAGCTCAATATTTTTGTGAAGCTGATGATGTTACACAATAATCCTACAGAACATAACCTTTTTATAAATCTTACCGGTATCTGTGCACAAATACTGATTTGAACATATATGTCAACATGTTTTTTATTTCATCCATATTTTCTTCCAATTCTTGTCGCTTGGTCATTAATGCTTCCAGTCGATCACTAGCTCGTTTGTCTCTGGCTTTTTGTCTCTCTGCCTCATACTGACGCTGAGTGTTATCCAAGTTAATGGACACAGTCAATGCCACATCCACTAATGCAGTCATTAGTTTCATTGCTGAAATACAATTTTCACCAAACAAAATAGCATTACTAGCTACTACTACAGACTCAACAATTCAATGTTTTTTAAAAAAAACTTTTTTTCTCTCATAAAAAAGTTCAAATATGAAGCAAATAATATGTCAGAACTTATTCAATTTTACATAAAATTATTACTATTGTTCAGGGTTAATAAAAATCATAACTTTCTTTAATTAAAATTTTTTTTTCTTAAATAATAAATATTTTAACACCTGTTTTAATGCTCATTTTATTGTAAGTTTCTTGACTTTAGTAAAACAGACAATGCGTTTTTTATAACAATTTATTTCATGTCATATATTTATCATTTAGACTCTTTTTGAGATCTTTTTCAAAAATCAACTCAGTGTCTGGATTAATTGACACCAAAAATAAATGGTAAGCATTTTGATAAAAACTTGTCATTTTTTCTGTAAATAAGAAAAACGTTTTTTAATAAAAAAAGAGTTTCATTAACTCAGATTTAAATTTAAATATTCAAATTAGGTAAAATATTTAGATATATTTGCAAAAAGACCTCAATATTCTCTTGAACACACTAATGCATTAAAGAAAAGGGGAAAAAAGGACAAGCATTTGATTATTTAATATCTAATTACAATGATGTAGGAGTAGAACTTGAAATTTTAATTGTGAAGAGCTCTTTTTAATGGACACTAAGATCCAACAGTTATGAAAGAACTCATAAAAATAGTGTGGTGAAAAAGTGGGCAAGCTAAGAAAAACAAAATTGTACAGAAAAAGAAATGAACATCGTAAAACAAATTTATTAGCATCAGCATCTTCAGCAAGATGAAAAGAAAAATTTCCACATTTAAAATCATCAAAAATTAGAAATCATCTTGGAACAGGAAAAGCAGAAAATTGGTGTTCTTTCGTTAACAATATGTAAAAACTATTATATTTTATTGCTAATTAATAATAATATAATTCTTTCTTATTCTTCCTTTCTCATACAACTGCCTCAAATCACACCCCATATTACGTTCACAAAGCGGTGGAAACTTAGAGCTGGCAACTACATTTGATGCCAAATTACACAAATAATACTAAGTTTTAACATTACCTTATTTGAAGATCTGTTTTTTAATTAATACATTTCATTTAAAAAAAACTATTTTCACAATTCTAGGAAGACACTGAAATTATTTAAATTATTTATATTTTTTGAAAAATGAGGCATTTCAATGAACATGAGACCTGCACCACTCTCTTAAGCGTCCTTTATGCTATCTAAGGTCTAAATTTAATCAAGAAATTTTGTGCCATTTTTCAGAAAAAATGGTTTAAAGAAAATAAAAATTGCCTTATGTTAGAAACAAAATTTTGCGAAAAATACTAATATTTTCCAAAAATTCAACATGTTATGATACAAAGATCTGCTTCTAAAGAACACATTTAATTAAGAAAAAAAATTGTGTTCATAATTGTAGTCATGGGAACACACTGAAAAAAAATTGTAATTTTTTGCAATTTTCAAAATCTTTTAATAAGGAAAATGATAAACAATATCCTTTACTAAGAAAAAATATAAAAAATTAATAGATGCATTCCAGCAGCATGGCAAAAATTTTGGAGCTTGAAGTTCATTCTTATAAACAAAAAACAAAAAAAGCACAAAAATGAAAAAAGGCATAATTGACACCTGTATTCTACCTGCTCTGATGTATGGTGTACAAACCTGGTCTATGACAAGGAAAAACCGAAAGGCTATTGGAGTATGCCAAAAAAGCATGGAAAGAAAAATTCTTCGAAAATCTTTAACAAATAAAATTAGAAATGAGGAAATAAGAAGAACACAAATAAAAGATGAAATGTTGACTGCTCATCAACTAAAATTGAAGTGGAGAGGCCACATCTGAAGACTCCCAAGATGACAGATGGACATCCAGAACTACTTTCAGAGATCCATGAACAGGAAAGAGGAACATTGGTAGACAACATCGATGACTTCTGGGAATTTCTAGGTAATCAATAGTCAAGAGTTGCAAAATACCATACAAAATGGAGAAAATTGGAGAAATCCATTAAAAACCGTTTTTAATGAGTTATTCATGTAAGGTCCCCTTGTAATTGTACTTGACCATATTTCAAAATCTATCTTTAAAGAATGGATCTCATTAAGGTAAAAAACCTCTACTTTTAATATTTTAGGTGTAGGAAGATGCCAAAAAAAGTTTGGTACTCTTGCAATTTTCGAAAAACCAGGGGTGTTAACGAACAAGTGACCTGCACCATTCTTTTAAATGTTTTTTACACTACCCAATAACAGAGTTTAATCAAGAACATTGAATTTTTTATTTTGAAAATTTTGAAAATGTCCCAGGGGCTTCTGGTAAAGTACCCCCCAAAATTAAAATTTCGATTTCAAATTCAAGAGGCAGCAACATCAGCCACATCAATATAGGAATATCCATTTTGGAGAAAATCAGATGAATAGTCGAATCGCTAGTGTTTTACACAGACAGATGAACAGACATATTGCCGTCAATTGATCATTCAGTATAGAGGAGAGACAAAATATGGATTCTGGCTAAACCATGTGTTAAAAGATTTTTTTTCTAAATAGCAGGGCCCAACAATTAAAACTTTTCTGACGAAAATTCACCCTTTTCCCCGCATCATTACATAACTTACTCTCTATTATACTGTGCAAGCGGTAGCAAAAAGCAATAAATGGAGGTTAAAATGCAATTAAAAGAAAACTATTGAATGTTCTTACCGGCTAAAGTAGCAGTGTGTCTAAATGCACGTACTTGTGAATCCGATAACCCAGTCAACAATGATATTACATTGTCCATTAGATACTGATCATATATAATAGAATACTGACACTGTTTCACAAGTATCTGAACAAACTCACAAAAGTTATTACGAAATTTCTTCCATGTCTGGCCAGTCATAATTAGAGGGTATTCACCACTTTCCTGCACAGGAAATAAAAAAATGTTTCAAAATAACATAAATAAATACACAAACACACAATTATGTCTACAAATACCATAATATGTTCTCAATAGTAATAGAAAATTACTCATTGTACAACTCAAGTAGCACTCATCACAAATAGTACAAAACAAACCCATCCAAAGAATGCACACACACACACACACACACACACACACACACACACACACACACACACACACACATTGACTAGCATCAATGTTTTGATTCAGTGTACGATAAAACAACTATTTAACTTCACTCTAACTTCATACAAAGTCAGTCTCAAAATCGTATCAATTTCACCAATGTTACTCAACCTAGACAGAAGTAATATACTATTAAGCATGACAATCCATCCGGTTATATCAACAATAATTTTAATATACAAATGTTTTATCTCAAACTTGATATAGTGGCTAGTAAACAATTGAAGGAGAAACAAAAATGAAGCATTTGTTGTTAAATTGATCCATATCTGAGAAAAGCGTTGGAACACGAACATGCAAACTAGATAAACTTTTGTTTGTATTTTGTATTTTGGCGACTAAAATGTAAAAATAATATAACGTGAAGGACAAAATCAAAAGATTAAAGGATAAAATCCAATTAAAAAGGATTAAAGGGAAAAAGTCGAACAAATTTTAGATGGAAAAACATTTTTGTCAATAGAGAAACGAGTGAAATATGCCATTATTAATATAATGAATAATAAAGGAAAAAACCTACAGAAGTGTCAACGTACAGAAACGATAGGATTCAGTCTTCATTTTAGACAGTGGTAAAAAAATACAAGAGAACAGTGTTGGGCAGCATAGAGAATGATAGTAGGGGGGCAAAGAGTATACATAGATCACTGAATTACAGGTAATGAATGTTTTTTTCAAAATTTCGATTAGCAGTGAAAGTTTTGGAATAATGGACAGAAGTGAAGATTCCTAAGTGTCGATGGAATGAGGGTCGGTGAAATATAAGCTTGCCATCACTGCAGTAAAGAGTAGCGAATAACTTTGAACTGTTATTCTCAAAATTAATAAGACAGGGCCAATTTTGTTAAGCAATTAAAAGGAAGAATTAAATTTTAATAGCTTGCCATAATAGTATGCATGCGTAGTAGAAGGGTAGAAACAAAAGAAGTTATTGAATTAATATAATGTAAATAGGTGTGAATATGTATATTTCAGATATTTTATTCTTCAGAGTGTAATCGTTTTGATTTGGATGGAGTCACGATGGGAATAGGTAGTGAAAACAAACAATTTTTGCTTAGAGTCAAATAAAACAGAGTTGCACCGATTATTGCGGTTGCAACATTAAATATTTGGAACTTAGTTAATGTATTTTATTTATTTATTTAGGTATGAGCCGAAGGTAATACCAAAGTAAAACAAGAATTTTATCCACATAAAAATCAAGTACAACATCCCAAATCACATATGGGATGGCTTTGCGAACTTCCAACCCAAAATAAATAATTGGATCCAGTGGATTAATTAATTACCACAGAAAGAAAATCAATAGTAAGAGTTAGATATTTATTATATGTTAATGCCTAGTATAAATGACATACTTATTGTACTAAATAATTAAATTTAAGTAATAGTTGCAGAATTAATTTAAAGGTTATAGCGACTCCCAAGTGAGAGGTAAAGAAATTATTGTTAAATACCAAAGCAGTGTCAGTGGCTCCCATGAGAGAGATCAAAGTATACGATGCATTTTCAAACAACAACAGGAAATTAATCCACAAGCAAAAGTTGTCTCAGAAGTGACAATGCACAGACTGAAAATGGTTGGAAGAAATACTTTTTCTCAAATTATTATTTTAGCAATAATGTATAGCATAAATGTATTCAACCCTTCATAAGAAACATTTAACATCTCTAACATTGATTAAAGCATTTTTCATCCTCTTCCTCTCTATGGAACACTATCAAAATACTTTCCTTAAACTTTTACCTCTCTATCCAAACTGGATGCACTAAAATGGGCTCAAAAATCCAAAGAGAAAAATTGGAAGGGTGATTAAAAATGTTATTTTGGGATGACAGTTTGGTCAGCATATAATAAATGTTTATTTATGATGGTTCTCTTAGCATGTGTTGTACCAATTCCTATGACCTGCTCTCTGAAAATATATCAGCTTTGAAGGACGTCAATATTGCCAGAGCTGCAAATTACCATTGACACTCATCTAACAAGCAGAAAGTTTCTTAAAAACCGCAAAGACCAGTCATCAACAGGATGAGTTCAAATGAAATGTGTTCCTACGAATGTTTTCCAGGCAAATTGGTGCAGGCAGAGGCTACAGATAAGACCTTGAGGCATGTTCTCAGCTAGTTCCATCGACATTAATTGTTTTGTCAATTATAAAATTTCATCTTTCATGTAAGTAGTACACGACATCAGATAATTATTTGTTAATGGTAACAGGATTGAAGGAATATGGGTCAATGGTTTTTGAAGCTAGAAATCAAAAATTGGGACCCATCACATAAATATTTTGCAGCAACCAAAAACTTGTATGCCTGGGACAGTCACACAAAAGCCTTAGATATTACTCCCAAAAAATTAATATCAATATTATGTCATTTTTGTTTTTTAAGTGAATTGTCTACAATGATATCAAACTTCACACAGTAAAGCCAGACTTCTACAGAGGCCTGTCTTACTAGTGTCACAGAAAGGGCAGGACACCATGCTGGAGGAAATGAAGTAAAAAGTGGCAATGGCCAATCATAAGATGAGTAACACCATGGATATAGGTAGTCATTAATCACACACAACTTAAAATCGGTATTGTGCCAAGTTTCTTCCCACAATGAGTCTATGTGGAGCAGAATTCAGCAAACTACTAGATTATAATTACAAGACAATAAACGATGAACAAGGTGTTGTGTTGTCATCAAGAGGCCCAAGGGAGAAAGGGAACAGAGTGACTGAAGTGTTCTTCAGAAATCACTGCATACAGCTACTTGCCCAATTATCTGATTAAATGTATTTCAAGTCATGAAGCAGTGCACTTATTGGTAAAGAAAATACTACAGAATGGTTGAATTTGAAGAGTGCGTAGCCCTTCTACAATAGAAGACAATCAAACCGAGTTCCTTTTATTTTGCTGTAAGTCATCTTCATAATGATAAGAATGCCATAAATTAGAATTTTTAGTCACATCATGCAGGTGTGGTTGAACATTTTAATGACAAATTGAGACTTCAGTATTAGTAATCTTGACCGATCTACATAAAAATCTCTGACTTCAATGTTGAAACTTTTTCTAAAACCTATATTTTTTCTGATAATTTCTTAAATATATGAACAATTTTACTCTCTTTTTCTTTATTTTTCAAAGCGTTAATTAGGAAAAATGAAGGTTTTGTAAAAAGTTTCATCAAAACTAGACATGGCTTGTTTTATGAAGGTTGAGCAAATTTATTAAAAAGAATCAATTATATATTCAACCACTGAACCTTCGTCATATGTAACACTTACCCCTCCCCCTACCCCCACCTGCTCCTTGGAAACCCCTACTTGGATAAAAAATGAGTGGATGTTCATGAAGCCAAGATAATTTCAATGATTTACTTGCTCATGTTTTTTAGAATCCAGGCGTAACTCAACTGAAAACTAACAAATATTTTTTATAGATCATTCAATTATCACGTCATTCGATTTGGGGCCTGATATGTTCCCTTTAACATCCCTCCGGTATCAATCACTGGCTACATGGTACTTCTATTCTATCAGTGACATTCTGGGCTGGAAAATGCTTGAATAGAGCAATTTTAAACAACATAATGAATTATTATTTTACATTTTTTCCCCTTACACTGATTAGAAAATACTTACATATTTTCCTTTTCTTATTACAATAAATTCCATTCTCTATTCATGATAAAGAACTTTCAATATCTACTAATATAATTATAAAACAAACCTCATCAAATTCTTCAGTCATTTTTCTAATAATTGCTGCATGTTCCATTGAGGCTTGCATAGTAGGAGTTATTTTTCCTTTACATCCAGAAGCATTTATAAAAAATTGCATCAGAGAGAGGAGAGCTGCATCTCTATTTACTTTGTAACTTTCAATCCAATCATCAACAACAGTCTGAAAAAGGATTATTTAAATTAAACAATTTCACTAACAATCATCTCTTACATAAATACACTGGGTTTTAAAGGAAGAGAATTGAATAATAGGAAGAAAAATTATTTGGTACACAGAATTGCACTTTCAGAAATAATTTAAAAGAGCTTTATGGACCATTCAGGTTAGAAGAAGATTTTTTGACATATTCTAAATCAACTGAGCATCGCCAAAGACCATGCTACTCTGCAAAATGTATTCTTCTGCCAGACATACGGGCTGGAGCACCAGCCAATGCCTCAATGTGCCAGTTTAGTGTGTGTAATTGGAGGTTAGAAATAGTTTTTACAACTGATTCATATCATTTCAATATTGATCACTATAGAAAATATTGTAAGAATTGATAGAAATTCTGTTGAAAAGCAGATGAAAATATGTGCATAAATTAAGTCATCAAATGGATGTAAATGGACAGGCTATAAACACCAAATTTCAAAGAGCCCCTGTGGCTTAAATTAATCATGCTTTTAATTTAACTCACAATAGACAAGATTTTTAACACACAATTGTGGATGTAGATAGTAACTTATTATAGTATATTATGTATCAGTAGAAAATAGCATATTATGTATAAGTAAAAGTATTGTTATTATTATATTATATTATAATTATTATTATTATTGAATTCAAGATTGAGTACGGTGTTGCTGTTGCCGAATTAAAGTAGTTTCAAAATTTAGTGCAGAAGTAGTTTTTTGGTGTAGTAGCGAAGTGAAAAAGTTGTGTTTTATTAAAGTAAGTTCTTGTTTATATGTATAGTTATTAGGAAACAAAAAAAGTATGAAGTGTTTAAAAAAAAGTGAAAAATAACAAAGTATCAGTGACCATCAAGATCCACATACGCACAGCTGTTCCGGAACAAGCAGTGAGGTGAAAACGTAACATTCCTCTCCAACTCACTTTTGAAAAAAATAAATAACGAGATTGAAAATGCCTACATTATCCTGTGGAAAGTGTGTTGGTGACATGAAAAACGAGGAGGTGTACTGCATTGGGTGCAAGGAACACTTGCAATTTAGCCTGCTCAATAAGTGAAACCACACACAACGGAAAATCTGAAAGAATGAAGAAAAGCAGGAGATGTACTAAATGTAGAGAAAGAAATGCAGGGAATAGAAGTAACACAATTAACTCCCCAAACCATTTTGAAAACTTCCTAGAAAAAATAAACAAGAAAATAGATACTCTAAATGACAATGTAAATGAAATTTAAAAAACTATAGACTTTCTAAGTAACAAGTATTATGAGGTAATAGAAGAAACAAAAGACTTGAAAACGGTGAAAGAAGAAATGAAGAAAAAAATTAGAATAATGGACAAAACAATTTCCAAAGCAAATGAACTTGAGTAGCAAGTTTTTGACTAAAATATAGAAATTGTGGGAATAATAGTGAAAACTCGAATCTTGTTAGAAAAATGTACTAAAACTGTTGAGTGAAGTGTGGGGGGAAAAATCAGTGAAAGTGAAAGGAGATAGTTTTGTGGTAAAAGCGATAAGAATTCAAAAATTAAAAGTTGTTATAAAATTCAATTACAATGTAAGAGAAAAAATTATAAATAATAAAAGGAAGCAAATACAAAATAAAACTTGTCGAACAATGATGACAATCAATTCATACACATTAACAAAAACCTAATACAATACAATTCAAATCTCTTATGGAAAACCAAAAACAAGTGAAAAACTTCACTCATTTTGTTAACAAAAACACTGGGACTACTTTTGTGGAACCATAAAAGATAGTGTTCAAAATATAGATGTGATCATCTTGAGTGAAATTAGTGTCAAAAATAATGATGACCTTTTAGAATATCATTTGCCAAATTTTCATAGATACATAAAAATAAGAGAGGAGAAAAGAGGAGAAGGTATACTTGTACAGAATATGCACAATTTGCTTTCTTGGCTAACGGGGATAAGCAGCGTCTCGGTCAATTGTGCTAACGTTTCGACCATTTTCCCCTGGTTTCATTATCAGGGCCCAGCAATAAGAGTTATTTCTCCAAAAAAATAACCATTTTTCCTTATAATGATACTTCCTCGATAATGCATAAGCAGTATCCATGAAAGTAAAAACCACTCACATGACTGAAAAGACAATATAAGCGATACAAGCTATTGCCCAGAGTTGGTAAGTGGAACTGATTAAAGAAATAATATACCACAAAAATCACACTTTTTTAATATTTATTGAAATGGAGTCCTAAAGTTTGCTTTCGGAATCTTATCTTCCCATCCTCATTGGCGTCTACAACAAATAAGAAAGGAACAATTTTAAAAAGGTACAAAAGAAATAGCCAAAGTAAGACAATGTACACTGAGAGAAATTAAAATTATCTCACCTGACAACATTATTTCTTAAGATGGTAGCTGCTGAGACTATTTTATTTATTATTATTGGTTTGGAAATGTGATCCGTGTAACCTGGTAAGTTGATTGATTGATTGTTTTAGTAATTCCAGGCACTAATTAATTCAACTACCAGGGTCATTAGTCCCATAGGTGTAGAGCATGTTTTTGCTCGGGAGGTGGCAATGATCTTTCCCCTCGCTGTATGGTGAAATCCGGCGCCGACCTACTCTTGGCTAGTAGGGCTTTCCCCAAATAGATATCTCCCACCAGCGGGACCCCGCACCAGCTAGGATAAGCTCTTAGCTCCTGATGGGTCTCCCGGCATGTGTGGTAGTGTAGTGCGTATTAGTGTGTGTATGTAAGGGGGGTGAGGATATGACAAGGAAAAGGAAGGTGCAATCACACACGGTGGCCCATTTGTTAGAGTACTGCTCCAGTATTCGCCTGGTGATGATTGGAGAAACCATGGAAAACTACTGATCAGAGCAGCCGGCCGCTACAATTCTCCTCCTGAATTCGACCTTGCCAACAAGCTAGTGCCTAAAATCCTGCCACCATCAGGACTCGAACCTGGTGGTCAGAGGGACTGCAGTTACATCAAATGATTGATGTCCTGAGCCATCTCCCTCGGTGGTAGTAAGTATTTTACTTAATTGTGCTTTACTAACATTTACTAACTGTGATGCATTTAGTTTTACCTAGTCTATTATTTTTGAAACCCTTTCATTAAAAATTGTTCCTTTTCTTAGTCGTTCGAAACCTTACAAGGGAAAGAACTCCCAGTGTACTGCAACATGTTGGATAAAATATTAAAACTTATGATTTTTGTGATCAGATTCATTTTTTATCAATATTTATTATAGAGTACCATAAGATTTCTGCTGCCACCTCTAAAATTGAATTAGGCTTACATGCAACTTTTAACACATGTTAAAAATACCTGTAGAGAAGCTTTGCCTTGTCGAATAATGAAGTATAAACAACTCTCATCTTCAGCGACAAGTTCAGAAAGCGGTTTACGCCCTGGTCGCCGCTTTTTGGGTTCTTCAATTGTCATAACTCTTTGTGGCCTTTGCTGGGTAGTTTGGGCCACAGGAGAAGAGGCCGAAGTAGTTGATGCATTGGCAGCTGCAGCAGCTGCCGCTAAACACCAAACAAACGTAAAACCAATTCTGCAAAACTGACTTAAGCAGATACTGCAACTAATTAAATTGGTTCACTGAGGTCTATAAAGATTTTGGGTTAAAACATGTGTTAACATTCATTTTCAATCGAATATGCACAAATGAGTGAATTAAAACATTTCTCAGGTGAATGAGAGCTGAAAGGAAGAAAAGCAATTGGGCACCAAAGGAAATTCAATATATTCATAAATGAGGTAAAGGAATGGAGAAATTACACATACCTGCACCTCGAGCCCGAGAACGTGTTACTCGGGTCCTTAAATTTGCAGGGGTGGCAGGTTGTTCATATTGAACAGCTTGATCAAAACCAGACACAGACTGTTGCTGTTGTATATCAAACTGCTGTTGTTCATACAGATGTTGCTGCTGCTGAGACTGCTCAAATTGAGTGTTTTGAAATTGACTTGTAGTTTGTGTTTCTGTATACTGATCAGTATTGTACATTTCAGTGCTGAAAAAAAGAACATAAATGCTTAATAACTACTACCTTCGTGAAGTGGTTTTATTTATATGCTGATCCAGATAGCGGAGATCACAAAGGCAGTAGTGTTGTGGCGATCTCGGATCGAAGGATCGTTCCCGAATCGAAGGATCTCGGATCGAAGGATCGTTCGAATCCCGCCTCAGGCATGGATATATTTGTGATCATTCCTTCATCATCATCACCCTATCACTTAATAGGATTAATAATTTCCTGAGCAAGCAGGAGGCTCTTCCCCTTAATGGGATGTGCAGTTGGAAAATAAATATATACACACACACACTGAGCAAAGTGGCTCAGTACGTAATGTGCTTTATTCGCGAACGAGAGGTCCCGGTTCGATCCCCGGGCCGACCATCTTGACCAGGGTTTTAGTGGTTTCCATCGGTCACAAGGCAAATACTGGGATGGTTTCAAAATCCCACAAACACCTCTCACTACCCCACTTAACACCTCCAACCACCATCCCAATCCTTTCACCCCTCATCATCACTCTGTATTAATAATAATAGTAATAATAATAATAATAATAATAATAATAATAATAATAATAATAATAATATCCTATCCCCCAAATTGATGTACAAGGCTAACAACCTTGTCTTAACCATGGGATGCAGCCAAAATGTTGAATCCCATAAGTTCACACATTGATCTGAATTATCTCCTTAGGGATGGGTCAGGTTCAGGAAGATCTCAAGCTTGTGAGTAAAAACTGAGGACACTTTAATGTGACATCATGGGTTCCAAAACTGGAGAACCAAAGAAGAATGAACACAAAAAGAAACTTGATCACCATACTTTGATTTTTCTAAAGTGGCTGATGACATTATGTCATTATTATACCTCCTGCCATATAAAATAGTTATTTTTAATTAATTTGCGAACGACCTTCTCAAAGGGGCTCGTTGCCTCAGAAATGTGCTTCCCACTGTTAAAAAGATTTGTTTCTTAAGACAGAAGGTGTAACAACCTAATGTCATAGGCCACTATAGAAAACCCAAAGTACAAGCCAAGATACAACTCGAATTAACGTATCAAAGGAATGTGAACTCAATCTTTTGTTAATAAATATAATTAATGAATTGGATTTGTAATTACCACACATGAATTAACATTTTGCAACCATTCATAATATTTAAAGCTCATTAATATCCATTAAGTGGAGACAATATGAAATAAACATTTTGACAACCAATTTTAAGGGACAATTTATGTTTCAGATCCTACTACAAAACGTATGATATATATAATATAAGATAACGTATGTCATAGTTAAATATATATACTGCTACCACAAATTCAACTTCTTCGCGAAACTTCTTAACTCAAAATGCCTGTTTTAATTATGACTGCTACAACCATAGAATCAATGGTTGTGAAAAGAGCATTAGTTCAGTTAGAGAAGAAATAATCCTTTTCCCAACCATTTATTTAATTATAACAATGTGTCAATAGCAACTGCAGATCAGATGGGTATTTTAAAGACAATGGAGAACAATTCATTATAACTACTAACAACATTAACTCACCCGCTGTGAAGAGGTGTGGCTGGCTGATTACTATATGGTGTATAAGGTGTGTTGTATGGCTCTTGAACTTCTGAACCACTTCCATCCATAGGTGTCATAGGGGTCATTGGAGATTCATATTCTGGGGGAGGAGGGTCATCCATACGTATCCTTTTCCCACCACGACGCTGCATGATTATAACTGAAATAGCAATAAGTACACATAGCAATACGATCTGGAAAAATACATGATGCCAAACAATTCTCAATTTACCTATTAAATGCAATAACTTCAAGAAAACTTAGCCGCAACAGGTAAAGTGTTTCAGTTTCTTCTGACAACACTGACGTGAAACGATGTAACCCCTATTTATGACACTAAAGATCAAAAGTATATCAAAATCATTTCATTTCATTTATAACAGCATATTATGTAGTATCATTACTATCAAAGAGCACACGATCCCCACAAGTAAATCTCAAGAACTTCAGAAATTGCGGATAATAAGTAGTTCCCTCCATAAGCAAATCCAAGTCACATAACACAAACATACGCACGCACCACGCACGCACGCACGTACCAACTAAACATATTTATTCTAGGCGTCCTTAATCAATGTCGCCAAAAATGCAAACTTGAGACAAATCTACCAGAGATATTCGACCAAAACAGAGAATCGGACATATTCAAGTAATTTATCAAATACTAACTCGAAGATATATTTACGTAAAAGAGAAATTTTAAATCAACCATTAACGATAAGTAATCAATGATAACACAAAAACAGAAGTATTACACGTTCATGTTGGTAATAGTACTTGGCGGGAGCACTTAAGATCGAAAATGCAAGAGCGTCATGGTATAAAAAAACAGACAAAGAAACAAGGTAAATTCGACGAGCGGAAAGCCGCTAAACATAATAGCCCGCGAGATTCGATTTGTGACATTTTCGAAACATTTTATAATTATCTCATTAGTGGCCTACCTTTCATGAAGGCGACAAACCAGTTTGAATTATGGTATCTTAAAAGTAACAAATCAAAAATGAGTGTGACTATATTCGACGAGATTTCGAAAATAATTATTATAGATTTGTCACGAGCCAAAATTACGAGAAGTTAAATCTGAATTCGACGCAATCAACGCGATGGTTGATCTTTCATCAAAGCAGTTGATAATCGTGTCAAATTGCATGAAGAAACGGTACACAGAAAACTTTATGATCTCTTTTCTAAAGCTAACGGTGTTTTAAGTGAAATAACTACAAAAGTAAAAGAAGAATAAAAAAAACAATATGGGACAATTTACAAAAAAAAAAATCTACAAGAAACATTAGAATCTCTACCAAGGTAAGGGAAGATGATACATCCATTAAGTTTCAATGTACCACCCATATTGAAACTTTCAGGGGCGGCCAACGAACGAATTCATTCCAGTAGTGTAAAGAATCGTCCATAAATTACGTAACGCTAAAGAGAGGGAGAGGATCTGAGGAGCGTTAAGCATAGGGGTAGAGGGTATTCGTTTAGTGCTACGTAACACTGATATTTATTTATTTTTTATATTTTTAACATGTGTTGAAATATGTTTATTCATTAACTCATGCTAAAACATTAAAATGTTAACTAATTAGTTTTAAAAAATTAAATAAAGTTATTGGAAGTTGTAACAATAAACGAAAATATTTTTTATCGATTTATTTATTGAATCTTTGAGATTACGAAGAAAATATTCAATTTTCATTCATCTGTGGTACATTTAGAATCCATTGAATTGGCCCAGTAGACCCTCGCCCATGCGCCTTCCACGACGACGTGTCCAACACTTGTGATCAGAAATTTTCTCGCTTAAGCCTCGTTCCTTTACTCAAAACTGCCTCCAATCTTATGCTTAGGTACATTCAACGTCTCCAAGTAATACCGACTTTAATTATCATAATTTTAATACACGCCACAAATAAAATGAATACAATGTTTTACTGTGCTATAATTTATTTTCCCTTCTGGGTTTTACAAGGGGGTGAGGGTGTTGTCACAAGCGTTACCTAACTATTTAGGGGAGTTCAACCGCGCGTTACGGGTACATTACAGCGGAGATTGGGTATTCAAAATACTCCAAATTTGCATTACGTAATTTATAAACGGCCCCTAAGTTCAACAGAGAAGCCTTGAACCGATCAAACCTAGGGACTCCTTAATTAAGGAGATGTCATTATTTTAATTTGATATTTTCTTCGCAATTTATCAATGAAAGTAGAAATATTATTTTTCAATCACATTGTTTTTGTGCTTAATTGATAAAATACTTAAATTACACAGACGGTATTGTGCCTTCGTGCTCCTTAAATAATTTTTAATTGAATTTAATTTTGAAAACGATTTTTCGACGCTGGCTACTGTGACAGGAATCGTACAAAATTATGTGAATACTGTTCACACGTCAATAAATCTGGTTAATAATTATTTCCATCGTCAGGCTTACTGGCAAAAACAAATACTTAATATAATATTTTAAATAATTGACAGATGGTCAGATTTCAATCGAAGAAATACGTGATATTTAGCGTGGTTGCGTCCCGGGCATTAGCAACGCCTGGTCCGGGCATTGGCGGCGTGGCTCACGGCACGGTGGTTGCGCCTCGGCCCGTCGTCAGTCCTGGGCTTGAGTTGGGGCTCCCACCGTCATTGGCCGTGGCGTTGGTCCTTGCCCCACCAACCCCAGAGGCGGCCCGCGATGTGGCGATGATGCATTCGGGCGGCGGCGCGGCAAGCGACGCCTGGCGATGCCCTCGTCCCCACCTCGGAAAGTCCATTCTGCTCGCTCCCGCCTCTATCGGAATGACCGAGCCTGCGGCTACCTCCTTAGGTACGCAGGTTCACGTGGCCCACCCCCGTGTTCTCGGCGATTGGCGAGCGCGCATCACGCGCTTTCTTCCACCCGATCGCGGCGTCATTGACGAACGTTTGAGTATAGCCGATTTCTGCAGAACTCAAACGTCACCCGAGTTCTAAGCACTGGCGTCGCTGAATTACCAGGTTTTGAAACGGCAGCGTCCGTACTTCCGGTGAGTCAGCGGCGTCATCTGAGGCGCGCTTCTGCCGAGACGATGGAGCTGTATGCCTCCGCGCCCCGACGCTTCCTACACCCTCGCAGGTAGCAAGAGATGCACTTTTCCCGAACTTCTTACATTAGTCCTCAGCAACGTTACATTGAATAAAATGTTAAAATACGCATCGCAACTTGACGCGTGCGGCCGTCCCATTACAATAGAATCCGGTCAGTTGGAGAAGTCAGAGAAGAAGAGATCTGAATATCCTTGAATAAGACAGTTTTGAAGAATACCATTGATTCGAAAATAAATAGGAAAAATGCAGCATTCTAGGGTTAAAAAACAAGTGTTTCTTTTATATAAAAATTGTCACTAACTTTCCACAACAAATGTGTAATTATTTGCAATCCTTATTGAATTGAAGCCTACAAAGCATGTCTGTTTATTACCCCTCCAACGGTATGGTTTGAAGAATGAAAATGAGATTCATTAAAAATATTATGAGATTTAAACTAACAAATTATATTCGTATATCTAAAGTAATTCCTAAATATTTGACATTTTTTGTCCAATTAATCGCGTCTCCGCAAAGCGCGAGTGGCCTCGGCCGCGTGAATCTCTGTCTCCGTGTGAAGAGCACAGCTGTACTCTTACTCACATTGACTTTGACCCGCCACAGTTTCAGCCACTCCTGGATCTGTAACAAATGTAAATCCAAGTACTTCTGGAGAAGCTCGATACTTTTTGACGTGGCTATTACAGCCGTACCGTCTGCATACAAGGCGAGCTCTGTTTGAGGGTGGGTGGGAATATCACGCACGTAAAGGCTGAAGAGCGTAGGATCAATCACGCTCCCTTGCGGCACTCCGGCCCGTACGGCGCGGCGGGTAGATTTGGCATTCAGAAGCGTCACGTTCTGTTTGCTAGGTACGATTGGATAAGATGTATAAGGTACATGGGAAAGTTCATGGAGTGGAGTTTGTAGAGGCCGACGTGCCAGACCTTATCAAAGGCGCTGGCAACATCTAGGAAAACTCCACCTGTAAATCGGCGCTCATTGAAGTTGCGTCTTATGTGGTCCGTGATTCGCACAAGCTGATGCGTTGTGCTGTGTCCTGCGCGAAAGCCGAACTACCCACCCGCTGGCTCTGTGCACTCCGTTATATTGTTGAGGCTCACGTGGCCTACTACGTCACGCCACCCCCACCGCGGTCTATTGCTAGCCATCAGAGTTCGGGTCTCCGTTTCTTAAGACCGGAAGACCCGGAAGCCTTGTCTCTCGTTTCCGCGTTCTTGCTTTAAGGAAAAACCCTTCTCTCCTTCCTGGGGCGAGGAGTTCCCTCTTATTAATCCTTTAGGATTAGGATTAGTAAGAGGTTAAAGGATTAGATTAGTAAGTAGTTAAAGGATTCCAAGCGTCCCCAAATAGATGCCAAGAGGCACGCTGGCTAATATGTTTCAATATCTTGGCCTATCTAGTGTCAGACGACTGAAAGGATACGTGGAACCAATATGTATGTATCAGGGGTCCCTTTTTTAAAGGGGTATAGCAAGCGCAAGTAGTTAGTTCCTTAAATAATAAAAATTACCTCTTTTACCTGGGCCCGCCTGCATTGTGGGCCCGAACGTTACGCCACTGCGTGGAAACACGTTTCATACGTTTCATTTTAGAAGCACCTTACCATCATCGCTAATGTCATGATAATATTTACTTCGAACAGTTTTCAAAAAGAAAAGGTAGCGACTTGCCATGTGTAGATAAAATAGAGCGTCTTAAAATCCAATTTGTGGACGAAATTCGCAGCCCGAACATAAATAAACCGAAAGAAAGCAAATATCATTGTAAATAACGAATGTAATAAAAGACATACACCTCGGCAACCGCATAATACGGCTAAAAACTTGGTAATTCTGTAAGACTCGCTAACGCGCATAGCAGAGGTTGCCACCAACAGTTTTCCGTCAAACATTGTGACGTCATTCTAGACATCTCTAAGGGTACGTTTATGTTGGAGCTGCGATAAGCGATGAAAGCAGCGCTGCGAGCCAAGCAGCGAGAACGTCGCCATGTAATCAAATGGAGGTGTTCATGTCGTGGCAACGCGTTGCTCTCAGGATCAGCGCTGTGACCAGCGATAAGAGCGGCGAAAACCCTTGTAGGTTTCGCTGCTAGTATCGCTGGTCCGCGCTCTTCACAGCTGACACACTTCAGGTGTTGAAAGTGTCGAATAAATGATTGCTGAGAAATTTATCGTTTGTGTTTTTTTAGGAGTCAAATGTGGACGAAAGGAACTAAATCACCGCAATATGTTCGTTTTAGACAAAATTGTGGGCCGCCTAAATTAGTACAACACAGTAAGTTTTGCTTACATGTTTAATGTACATTCGTTTTTCATATGAACAACAAAAATACAAATATTTATATAGTATGTCTGTCTGATTATTGTTTTATTGTGTTGTTGGAAAACTAAATGTTAACTTAAATAGAGCACTCATCATCTTTGAAGTGATAATGTATTATTCTGAGTCATTTTTGTAATGTAGATGCTCAGAAGTACCCCCATTATTTTGTATGCCATAACCATCCACTCCAACTGTTAATGAATTTGTAATTAGCAACCACAACACCTTGTAAAA